AAATCTTTACCACAGCTGCAAATCTATGAAAGGGAATGAACATTTACATTCTATATTTTGAAGTGATTATGACACTGAAGTATAATGTTACAAGTAAACATTAAAGTTCATGTGCTAGACATGCAAATACATAGGAATCATGTGATATAAATGTAAATCCCTCTAAAATCCTTCCATGATTGTTGCAGGGTGAGGTGCAATCAGAGCGGGAAGATGCGGTTTACGGTGAGAGGGAGCTCGTTCTTCTACGAGGTTCTGATCACGAACGTCGGCTTTGACGGGATGGTGGCGGAGGTGAAGGTGAAGGGGAGGAGAAGTGGTTGGATACCAATGGGGAGGAATTGGGGACAGAACTGGCACTGCAATGCAGATTTGAGTGGCCAACCCCTTTCCTTTGAGGTTACTGGAAGCAGTGGAAGAAGAGTTACTTCTTACAATATAGCCCCTCCCAATTGGAGATTTGGACAGACCTTTGAAGGGAAGCAGTTTGAAGGTTAGTTATATAAAAGATTGGAGCTTTTTGTTTTATTCAGGAAAATTTTTGGGGGATGAGTTTACAGTTTTGTGAGGAAACTGTTGATGTTTCAATTAATAGTTTTGTTACATGAATCCTAGAGGCATTTACATACACACCACACAGTTTTTATGTATTTGCATATCTAACAACTAAGCATCCATATTTACATGCATACCGCTCAAAGTTTGAACATGGAGTCAAAAATATCATCATTGCTATTCTTTGTCATAGCGAACTACATATATTTATGCATGTGTTTATGAAACTAAGGCGGTGTAAGTATAAATATCAAACTTTGAGTGTTTGATACGTAAATACATAAAAATTGTTGTATGTATGTAAATTTTTATTAAATATATATTGTTGTTGATTTGAAGTGGAAGTATCAATTGTAATTGTAATGTATTTTCATGTAAAATGTCTTTTAAAGAATGATTTGCAGAATGTGATATGGTTAAGGAAGATTTACATACATAACAATCAATTCTTATGT